CAGGACGAGGGGAAACGGCCGGAAACTGCAGCATAGGAAGTTCTGCACAAACATGTGCAAGAACTTCTTTACGGTGAGGTGACGGAGCACTGGAACAGGCTGCCCAGGGAGGTGGTGGAGTCTCCTGCTCTGGAGATGTTCCAGACCTGCCTGGATGCCGACCTGTGCGACCTGCTGTAGGGAACCTGCTTTGGCAGGGGGTTGGACTCCATGATCTCTGCAGCTCCCTTCCAACCCCTACAATTCTGTGATTCTGTGAGTTGGAAGGGACGTTTAAAGGCCATCTGGTTCAAATCCACTGCAGAAAACAGGGGCACCCACAGCTAGATCAGAGCGCTCAGAGCCTGCTGCAGTGTGATGATGAACTGTGCTTGTGCTGGGGAGCAGCAGCGAAGGCCGGAGCAGTCCGTGCGTGCAGGTGGAAGCAGTGCAGGAAGAAGGGCAGGGTTGTGCCTGGCTCTCTTCATCCCCAGGTGAACGGAGTGTCCCTGCACTGCGCGGAGCACCACGTGGCGGTGGAAGCGCTGCGTGGCTCGGGGAGCTCCGTGTCCATGACGGTCCTGAGGGAGCGGATGGTGGAACCGGAGAACGCCATCACCGTCACCCCGCTGCGCCCTGAGGACGACTACAGCCCTCGAGAGAGGAGGGGTGGCCTCCGCTTCCCTGAGCGACCCGAGGGGGCACCTCCCACAGAGAGATACTCCACCTGCTTGATGCGCAATGAGAAGGGTCTGGGCTTCAGCATCGCTGGTGGCAAAGGCTCCACGCCGTACCGGGCTGGTGACACGGTCAGTGACAGCTCTTTGGGAGGAAAGGGGCTCCAATCTCTGCATTTTGGCACTGCTTGAGCGGGCAGCACAGGGTCTTTTCATCACTGAGGGCAAGAGGCAGCAAGGCATGGCCCGGGGGCTGTCCTGCAGTGTTGAGAGAGACAGAATCTGCTCTTAACTCAGGGAAAGGGAGAAGTTCAGAAGGAGGTGGGGCAGAGGCTTGCAATCCCTGCCAGTGACATTTAATCCTGCTGCTGTCCTCTTGACATGTGTTCTGGGCTCTTGGCCACATGAAGGCTTTCCTGCAGGTGGCTCCGGAAGCAGAACGGGGTTTGCTGGAGTGAGGAAGAAAGGAAAATGCCAGGGGGGGGGGTTCTGCAGGGGGAGTGGGCTGAGACCCGCCTGGTGTCGGGGAGCAAAGCCTTGGGGAGGCACGGAGTCTCTGACCCTTCTGATTGCATTTCAGGGGATTTTCATCTCACGGATTGCAGAGGGAGGTGCAGCCCATCGGGACGGGATCCTGCACGTAGGAGACCGGGTCATCTCGGTGAGTGTGGGTGGCTGGGGAACAGCAGGAGGGAATGGGAAGGGGCTGACTCTGCCCTTGGGGCAGCAGGCACAAGTACAGTTCCCTGCCCTGCCTCAGCTGTTCTCCTGTCTTTAATACTAGATTTTGGAGCCCTTTTTTTAAGCTCCTCAAAGGCAAGGCATGTGAAGGGGCAGCGCTGCGCCCTGCGGAGAGCAGGGCAGCAGTTGTCAGCGCTGCCTGAAGGAGAGGGAGGGCAACATGGAGCCAGGCAGGGCACATGGAGTGTTTCCCCTGCTTTCATTTCAACCTCTGGCCCCAGCTCCCCTCCTGTTTGTGCTGTGATACAGATCTCACTGCTGCCTCTAACCTCAGTCTTTCTGCCTAATGCGTCACTGGCTCCCCTCCTGTGGGGAGAGCCTGCTGAGCCTCCTGACCTTCCTCCCGAGCTCGCATGCTGCCTCCAGGTGAAAGCTCCTGCCTCTTGGTGCTGGTGGTGGGTTTCTGATCCAGCTGTTGTGGTAAGAGCACGTGTTACCACAGAGCTGGCGTGGGTAAACACTGATACAGCCTCGTCAGTGCTGGCTTCTGTCTGCTCTATCCCTAGGCTGGGGGCTGCGTTGTATTTGCTCTGGCACAAAGCTGTAGTGGAGCTTTGACCTAGGTCTGGCAGTCGTATCCTGCCAGGAGACCTGAACTGCTACGACATCTCTCCTTGTCTTCTAGTGCTCCTCTCTCCTCCCACAACCAACCTTGGTTGTTGTCAGTCAGAACTGTGGAGTCATGGAATGGTTTGGGTTGGAAGGGACATGACGACCACCCAGTTCCAACCCCTGTTCTGTGGGCAGGGATACAAGCCATCCAGCCTGGCCTTGAACACATCTAACATTCTCTGGACAACCTGCTCCAGTGCCTCACCACCCACATAGTGAAGAATTTCCTATTGTCTAATCTAAATCTCCCTTTTTTAATTCCAAGCCATTACCCCTCGTCCTGCTATTACCCTTCCTGGTGAAGATTCCCTCCCCATAGCCCAAATTATTTTCATTTTGCTCTTCTTTCGATGCTCCACTGACATGGAAGCATGACTGAGAGGCATGATTGCATGGTGTTTGTTGGCTTTGCCTGTGGCAAGAAGGAATCGTGATATTTCGGAATGGAGTCAGAAGTCAAACCCTGTTGCATCTTTATGGTCTATGGGCATTTTCATTCACATCAAACTGTTCATATAACATCTGCACCTTCCAGCAAGTGTCTGACTGCAGCAGCCCCAGCAGGCATTCCTCCTGGTGGCAGCTGCTCTTCTGCCTTTCCTTCCTGTGGGGTGCACTGCTAAATGTGAGATCCACGTGGTGGTGGTGTTACATCCTGAGACCTCTCATCTCTCTTTGGTGATATTTGTTCCTTGAGAGTTTCTGCTCATTCTAAGAAATGCACGAGCAGCCCTGTGAGTTTTACCCCATCTCTGGACAAATCTGCAGCAAGGTCAGGCCCATGGAGCTGCCGTGGATGCTGAGAATACCTGTTCACCTCAACACCATGTCTGTGTGACAGAAATCCCTATTTGCCACAACTTTTCTGAAGCAGTGATTGCCCTTTTTTTTAGTTTTTTTGTTTGGTTGGTTTGGTTTGGTTTTTGGAAGACTTTTCAGGACATGGTGATTAACCAGATGTGTCGTGCAGGCTGCTTGTGTTTCTCTATGGGGAGAGCAGGAGGGCTCTGGTTGGGAAGCAGTCTGTAGGTCCAGCAGGCAGAAGCCTCCCACCAAAGTCATGGTCTCCTGGTCATGCCTCTGTTTCACTTTGCTGAAAGTGAACTTTTTGTTTTCTTGAGGAAAGGAATACAACAGAGCTTCATGGTCTTCCCCTGTGCTCTGTACCATCCTGGATTTCTCTGCAGAGAAGGGCCAGGAAAACTCCCTTTGTTTTCTTCAGGAGCTTTTTGTAAAAGAACTGAAGAGCCCAGCCTAGAGCTGTCTTCAAAGTTAACGCTCCACAAAGCTCACCAGTGACTGATCACTAACTCTGCAGCCTTCTCCGTGTTCTGATGTCTCTTATGAGTCAGAACCTGACACAGTTTTGTGATGGACATCTTGAGAGTCACCTGGGTGGTGGAAGACATGGGGCAGGGAGGTAACGGAGACTTTGGACATAGTTTGAGATCATAGAATCATCAGGGTTGGAAAAGACCGCGAAGATCATCCAAGTCCAACCGTCAGATCTAGCAGGGAGGTTCAGGACTGGGAGCAGTGGCCAAGGGCAGCTAGTTTTTGGGGATAGGTCTGGGATTAAACAAAGAGCCCTTAGCTGGGGGAGGCTGAGGGCAGTAGCGGCATCAGGTGGTGCATGAGAGGCCTGATGAGCCATTGATGCCGAAAATTCTGCCAAGGGCTGTTAGATGGGAGGTGCTATGAGTGAGGGACATCTTGTGTCCTCATCCATTGGCACCTGGGGGAATACCACTGAATGCCTGTGGTCCAACCACTATCATCAGGAAAGAAAAACAAAGGCCGTAGAATATCCCCAGTTGGGATGTTATCCATGAGGATCACAGAGAACCTCCCAAAAATCAGGCCGTGATGTTACCTGATGAGCAGTTTGTTTAATGATCCATCTGTGAGTGCCCCAATCTCGTCTCTTATCTGCTCTTCATTAGGTTTGTGCATCTGCATGTTGTTTCTCTTTCCTGCTTATTGCTTTGGTCTTCTATGCTGACGAGCCACTACCTGGGTGCTTCCTTCCTGGAGCCCCTTCCTGTGTGTGATAACGTGCAGGCTGACATCTTCACCTCCTTGTTGGTCCTCAGTGGTTGGTGCCAAAGGTGTACTTTGGGTGCAGATGTCTCAGCGTAAGAGCAAAGGCTGCGGGGCTGAGAGTTTCCCATCTGCGTCACAACTGGGAGCTGCCTCACCTGGCTGTTTGTGGGGCTGCCAGGAGATGGGCAGCATTGCTGGGAGAGTGACAAAATCCCTGCTGTGGTCTGAACCCCCATTGCATTGGCAGAGGAGCACCGCTGGCTTGGATGGGACGGGCAGGTGGGCTGAGTAGTGGTCGTGTTGGTCTTAGAGACCAACAGAGCTCTTAGACAGCTCTTCAGAGCCTCTTCAACCAACTTGGCCCAGAAACTGTTAGTAGTTATAATAATTCTGGGGGTTAGATAGTGAGGAATCAGGCTGCACAATCCAGCTGCTGTGACCGTTGTGTGATTGTTTGTTGAGCAGCTGCTGTGTTCACGTCTTTGTTGTTCATTTTGGAAAGCGTTTTCAGAATTTAAGAACCTTTTAATTTGTCAAATTATTGTTTCCGTGGCACATTTGGTCCCTTTGGTCCCCTTCTAGCTTAGCTCTCCTCTCAATTTAATGTCCCTTGTATTCTCATGGCAAATAGTCACATTCTTCCTGGTCTCTTCTAGTCAGGCTGCTTTATATCTTCTTTCTGTAGGCAGGGCTGTTCCTCTGCTTGTCCTGCAAGCTTTTCTTCATGCATTTTGTTCATGTTGTTAACTTGTATTAGATGTTCTTACTTCTTTAGTGTGAAGATTGACAATAGTGCACAGTTTTATAGTTGAAGTCTTTCCATTGCTGTGCAAGTGACATTGCTGCTTCCCTCTGCATTGCAGGTGCCTCTTTGTCCAAAGCATTTCTGTCTTTCACTGATACCGTTGCAAGGCTGGAGAGTGTATTGCAGTATGCTTTCTTGTCAAAAAGAATTCTGCTTTTCCTTTTGTCCACCAGACATTTGCTATTGACTGATTGAATCTCATTCTCAGTGCTTCCAAATGATTTTGTACCTGTGCTACACTTTTTGTGACTTAAAACTGGGGCCATTCTCCCATCATTGTGCCACCACATTGCCCAGTGCGGGCAGACAGCAGCCCAGTAGCTCGCAGCAGGTCCCACTGCACATCAGATTGTGCCCTTCAGCTCTTCATCGCCTCTGTCCAAGCTTGGAGAGTGATTGATATGGGCAAATGCCCGAGTACAGAGGCAGCTGATGGCATGGTGCATTGGTGTGCCGTGACATCACTTCTGGGAATCGCTGCTTTGCCTTCTTCCCTTGTTAAGGTCGCTGGACCTGTTCCTCTAATGCAACCATTTGGGCTTTTTTTCCTTTGGCCCAGTAGGCAAGCTGGAGCACAAAGCCAAAAAGGAGTGGAAGGGATTCTCTTGGTCATGAATATGCAAACAGTCTTAGCAATAGCTAAAGTGGCAATAGCTAGCTTTGTGGCATCCAGGAGGTGGTGCATCACCATTGATCCTTGGCATTTTCCGGAGCATCGCTGGTGCTGCTAGAGCTTGGAAGTGTGCAGGGAAGGTGAGAGGGGTGGGTGAGCTGTCTGCAGAGAGGATTGTGCTCAGCCAGGAATGGGAAGTTGCCCGGGTCCATTTGCAAGGCAGGAAGGAGTGTTCTGAGCCACACCGCGCTGTGGGAAGCGGACTTTGAGAGGGGCAGGGCGTCAGCGTGGGTCTCAGGGTGTTTGTTTGTGCTCAGGTGACGGTCTGACGCTGAGTTTGCGGGTTGTTCTAGATCAATGGGGTAGACATGACAGAAGCCAGGCATGATCAGGCCGTAGCGCTGCTTACCGCATCCTCCCCCACCATCGTCCTGCTGGTAGAGAGAGAGGCTGCAGAGCAGCCCGGCGAGGGAGACGCGCCTGGCGCGCCGTGGGTGCGCATGCACTCCCCACCGCCACCCCCCAGCCATGGGGAGAGCCCACCAGAGGAGATGCCTTCGCTGCAGAGGAGCCAGCTCTCTAAAGGCCTGGAGGATCAGTATCCCATCGAGGTGAGCCACCGGAATAGGGGATGGTGTTGGGTAATAGGTGTGTGGTGTTGAGCGCCCTTGGTTCGAAAATGTGGTCGTGTGATGAGGGCTGGGTGGGTTGCTGGGCTATGGAGAAGCAACGGGGGGCCCTCTTGTCCTGTGGGACCTTGTCTTGTGCTCACTCACACAGAGCATCCCTGATTCGTAAGGTGACGTTCTCCGCTCTCCTTGACTCTGCTTCTTGTTCCTTCCAGGAAATTCACCTCGTAAAAGCAGGTGGTCCTCTGGGGCTCAGCATCGTGGGAGGCAGCGACCATTCGAGCCACCCGTTTGGGATTCATGAACCAGGGGTTTTCATTTCAAAGGTAGTCCCGGCACTGAACATTCCTGAGCTGTTTTCATTATTGGGGTTAAGATGGAGGATTTTGATGCAAGAGTCTGAAAAGTGTAATATGGGTTAAAAAAAAATGAATGGGATGAGGAGGAGAAATGCGTGCATATGTAAAGAGTTAATTTCTATTAAATATATCTCTGCTGTTTTAGACATCTGAATGATTTAATAATAACCTGCAGGGTTCGTTCCTGCTGCACTGTTTGGGGAGAGTAAGCTTTTGAAATTGCTGAGCTTCTGTTTTAGTGAATGCTGGAAAGATGCAGGCATTCCAGGAAATTGGCCATTACTCAAAAGGTGTCAGGGATGGATATGTAGCTGTAAGGAAAAACAGAAGATTCTCCTGCATCCAGGCCAGTGTCCTTCAACCTCCCACTCTCTGTGCCGTGGTACCACTGACAGATCTTATTCAGGATCAGTGCACAAACCTCTCGCTTACTGCAGCCCTTTTCATAGAATCACAGAATCACAAGGTTGGAAACGACCTGCAAGCTCATCCAGTCCAACCCCCCTCCCATTGCTATCAGTACCACCAGCACTAAACCACATCTCGTAGCTCCTCATCCAGGCGCCTCTTGAACGCTGCCAGGGACGGTGCCTCCACCACCTCCCTGTGCAGCCATTGCAGTGCCTGACCACCCTTTGAGAGAAGAAGTTTCTCCTCATGTCCAACCTAAACTTCCTCTGCTACAACTTCTGGCCATTTCCTTGGGTCCTACTATTTGCCTGGGAGAAGAGGCCAGACCCTTTTGCACCACAACCTCCCTTCATGCAGTTGTACAGTGCAATGAGGTCTCCCCTGAGCTCCTCTTCTCCACACTGAACATTCCCAGCTCCCTCAGCCTCTCCTCATCAGCCCTGTGCTCCAGACCCCTCACCATTTCATTGCCCTCCTTTGAACACGTTCCAGGGCCTCAATATCTTTCTTGCAGTGAGGGGCCCAAAACTGAACACAGCACTCGAGGTGCGGCCTCACCAGTGCTGAGTACAGGGGATGCTCACCTCCCTGCTCCTGCTGGCCACACCATTTCTAATGCAGGCCAGGACGCCGTTGGCCCTCTTGGCCACTTGGGCACACTGTGGGCTCATGTTCAGCCGAGCACCAACCAACACCCCCAGGTCCCTTTCCTCTTCACACTCATCCAACCACTCATCCCCAAGCCTGTAACGCTGCCTGGGGTTGTTGTGGCCAAAGTGCAGAACCCGACACTTGGCCTTGTTGAACCTCATCCCATTCATCTCAGCCCAGCGATCCAGCTTATCAGATCCATCTGCAGGGCCTCCCTGCCCTCAGGCAGATCGACACCACCTCCCAACTTGGTGTCATCTGCAAACTCACTCAGGGTGCACTCAATCCCTTCATCTAAGTCGTCAATGAAGATATTAAACAGGATGGGCCCCAGCACCGACCCCTGGGGGACACCACTTGTAACAGGTCTCCAGCTGGACTTCACTCCATTGACCACCACCCGTTGAGCACGGCCCTCCAGCCAGCTCCTTATCCAACGGAGGGTAAAACTGTCCAAGCCACGGGCAGCCAGTTTCCGCAGAAGGATACTGTGTGAGACCGTGTCAAAGGCTTTGCTGAAGTCTAGGTAGATGACATCAACTGCCTTTCCCTCATCTACCAGTCTGGTCACCCAGTCGTAGAAGGAGATGAGGTTGGTCAAACACGACCTGCCTTTCATGAACCCATGCTGGCTGGGCCTGATCCCGTGGACAAGCTGTGTGATCTCTGCCAGGAGGATTTGTTCCATGACCTTCCCTGGCACTGATGTCAGGCTGACAGGCCTGTAGTTCCCCGGATCCTCCTTTCCATGAAAGCCAGCCACACTCATTAGATGAGAGATGTTGGGGAGATACCCCTGCCCAGTCTTCTCTGCATCCATGCATCCCTCTTCCCTTGGAGGTGCTGATCCTGTCTCCTGCATGCCTGCAAGTCCCAGAACATCTTTACCTGTCAGTGAGGAGGCACACTCAGATCTGCTCTTAGCCCATGTCTCAGTGGTTTCTCTGAGTGTCCCATTCTTATGCTGCTGATTTGGTGATCAGGAGTCCTGTATTTGGGCTGTTCACCACCTTCATATTCCTTCTTCAGCTTTCTGCCCAAAATCAAGAGTTGTGGCTTTTGTTCCTCCTTGCAAGGTGCTGCTTCATGCTCTTGTTTTTTTTTAGTTGCCTGTCTCTGAACCTTCTCTGCCTCCACTGTGGCCTTCTTAAAATGTAGGATAAGAGGATCATTTGAGTTGTAAGGAACCTGTAAGGAACCATTTGATCTCAGAACCAGCTTAGAGGAGCTCGCTGAGGTCCTTGTCAGGTTCTGAGTGCCACAACAATGGAGATGCTGCATTCTCTCTGGGCATCTGTTCTAATGTTCAGCTACCATTACAAAGAATGTTTTATTCCTAACACTTAGTTTCCTTTGTTCCATCTCTTTTTCCCTTGCCTCTCTCCCTTTGGACAGTCACGAATCCCAGAACCATAGGGGTTGGAAGGGAAGCTCACCCAGTCCAACCACCCCCTCTTGAAGTTCCCCAGAGCAGCTTGCACAGGAAGGCATCCCAGATGGGTTTGCCAGTGTCTTTCTTACACCCCAGATGCAAGTGCTGATTAGTGGGGAATAATCACTGCTTTCAACTCACAGTTTACTCCCTTGTAGTCCAGCCCAGTGTGTACCCTCTGCTATTGCAGTGATAACATATATACTGCTGACTTAGCTTAGCTCTCTGCAAGGACCTGTTGATGTCCTGTTTGTCTTCCCTGACACCATGCAGTGCATTCTTCTCCTTTTGTAGCTTCTTCACCTGGTAGCTCAGCACCGTGTCAGAGGCCTTACTGAATTACAGACAGATGGAATACAGCCATCTTCCCGTGTCCACTGGCAGTGAAGCCATCACAGAAGGCCACCAGGTTGGTCAGGCAGGACCTGCCTTTGGTGAAGCCACACTCGTTGTCCCGTATCACCTTTCTCTCTCAGAAAACTGACAGAGGAATTAGATTCAAATAATAATATGAGAAATAAGAACGCACTCAATGGCATTTTAGAGCAAATCTTACTTTGTTCGTTGTTTTGTATGGATGAAGTAGCTTGGTATTTGTTGTGATCTTCCTGGTGATAGCATCTCAGTACTGCACAGTTTCTCTTTTGCTCCCTGTCCTACAGAGGATGGGGGGAAGAAAGTGAGATGGAAAAGAACTTGCAAGTTTTTGAGATAGAAGCAGTTTAATGAAGGAAAAGCAATAGCTGTGCACACAAGCAAAAGGAAAAAAAATACTCTCTACTTCCCATCAGCAAGCAATCTGCTGGGAAGCCAGGCCTCAGCACACACACACTGATTGCTGCAGAAAGTCAGGACCTTGTAATCACAGTGCAGAACGTCCTAAACAGGCTGAAAATGGGGTGACAGTTTTCAAGCAGCAGCCATCAGAGCCATCAGTGGAGTGTCAGCGAGTTGGAAGGGTGTCCAGGCAGATTGTATAAGGATTTGTACCAGACCTGACACTGCTCAGCTTCAGCAACGTTGTGGAAGCAAATCAAAAAACTGCAACCAAGAAACGATACGTGGAAATATTAGAATTGTAATTTATAATGAGTCGAAAACAGTCATGTTGATCACTTTTTCCTCTTCAAAGAAATGCACTTCAGGGTAACTGAGAGTGATGTTTTGCATCTCGAAATAAACAGTGTAGACCGGTTCCCCTTCTGCAGTGTTTCTTCTAAATTCTTCTAGAAAGCAGTGGCTTTGAAAATTGTTGAAGCATCACAGTGAATGAACTGCAGCGTTCAGTCACTCAGATAATGAGCAGTCATCCAGGCGACGAGCAGTTCTCCAAGCAATGCTTGGACATGTAATAAGGGACGATGAGGGTGGAATTTTCTTGTTTGTGGAGGCTCACTGGATGTCATCAACCCATCAGTGCACTGAGCTGCTTCTTCACAGATGAATTAATTGCCTCTCGGGGAGCTTCAGTTGCAGACAGAAGGTCAGAATGGCCTCAGAGGATGTTGGAGGATTGCCTTCAGACGCCGTAAAAATCGGCCCTTGAGCTCCCTGCCGCCGAAGCTGTAACACTCGCTCACTTGCTGTTGATCACAGGAGCGGCCGCAGGCTTTGTCAGCCCCTCTCCAAGGGCAGATTTCCTTCTCTGGTTGTAACACAAACTGTTTTCTGCAGGTCATTCCCCGCGGGCTGGCGTCTCGCAGTGGGCTGCGGGTAGGGGACAGGATCCTGGAGGTGAACAGCATTGACCTGCGCCATGCCACGCACCAGGAGGCCGTGAACGCTCTGCTCTCCAACACCCAGGAGCTGAGCGTGTTAGTAAGGCGAGATCCACCACCGCCTGGCATGCAGGTGGGTTCTGAGCAGGGATTGCGCTTCCTTCTTCACAGATAGCTCAGCTCTGAAGGTGGTTTCTTACCTAGCTGGGGGTCTGAGTTTGTATGGGCAGCTGAACTTCTATCTGAACTTTCTGGATGCTGAGGAAGGCCGTGAAGATGGTCGGAGAGCTGGAGCACCTCTCCTGTGAAGAGAGGCTGAGAGTTGGGGTTGTTCAGTCTGGGGAGGAGAAGGCTCTGGGAAGACCTCATTGCAGACATCCTCAACCTAAAAGGGCCTACAGGAAAACTGGGAGGGACTCTATCGTGGATGATAGTGATAAGACATGGGGTGATGACTTTAAAGCAAAAGAGGGGAGGCTTGGCTGAGGCCACAGGCTGCCCAGAGAAGCTTGGGTGGGTGCCCCATTCCTGGAGCCATTCAAGACCAGGTTGGATGGGATTCTGGGCAGCCTGACGTAGGGGAAGGTGTCCCTGCCCACAGCAAGGGGGATTGGATGATCTTTAAGGTCTGTTCCAACCCAAACTATTCTGCAGTTGTGTTGTGGTGGAATCACAGAATCACAGGGGGTTGGAAGGGATCTCAAGAGATCATCAAGTCCAACCCCCTGCTAAAATAGGTCACAGAATCTGCTGTCCTGTGAGTTCATATCCAATTGAGGACTGTAGGGAGCTTCTTGCTGTACCAGTGGTGATATTGTGATCAGAACTGATTGTTCTCATGTTTCATGAATAGAGGTAGAAAGTAAACAAAAATACAAAGCCGTATAAAGGAGAGAATCAACCGCCAAATGTGTGAAACGTCCAAGTCAGGTCACTTCCAGGATTTTTAGAATATACCCATCCCCTAAAAGCTTTTCCTACACAATTCCAGTCTGACCTAAAGCCAGAAACAAGGAGATCTTTCTGTATTTTCAGGAAATATGCATTGAAAAGGCTCCAGGAGAAAAGCTGGGCATCAGCATCCGGGGTGGAGCAAAAGGTCATGCTGGAAATCCGTTTGATCCTACTGACGAAGGCATCTTCATTTCTAAGGTACCAGCCCACAAATTCTGCCCCTTGGTGATGTGCATGCCCTGCTAGGAGGCAAGATGATCCCTGAGAGAATTTGTTGTGTTTGGTGCTCTCTCCATTTTTCACTGGCTACGCTGATTCTCTTTTAGTTTTCTCCATCCGCTGAAGCACGTGAACGTGTTTCATTTCATGTTTCCTCCTTTACAACAGCTGTAACATTCTTTCATTTCCTTTGTTTGCCTTGTTTTGTTTTTGCTATGCGAGTTTTGGTCCTTTTTCCATCACACAAACCTATGCTTTCTCCTTCTTCCCCTCAGTTCCTGTTGCTACCCCACTTGCTTACCTGCCCAGTCAGAGGTGCATTTGCCTTTGTCACTGAATGCAGTATGAGTTCCTTGCTGTGCCTGCTGTGCCGTGCTCTGTGTTCCCTTTCCTTTGTATGCATACTGATTTGTCATGTCACTTTTCCCCAGGCAGGAACACACACTTTCCAACGCAGTGCTGTGTATAAGCTAATGCTTTTCTGACCCTTATCAAAAAGTATTGCAACTTCTTTGCTATCAATCAAGAGAGCATGGTGGTGAACAGTGCAGTTTCACATCTCTTGCTTGCTTTGAATGTTCGTATTGATATCACTGTTTCCTTCTCTAGCTGCTGTGCTAAGAGCAGAAACACTCTCCTTGCTCTAAAGAGTCTTAATCCTTGTTGCATGGTGGACTCTTCATATCCACCAGTTAATCACTTATAATAACGAGCCCAGGGAGGCGGTGGAGTCACCGACGCTGGGGGTGTTCAGGAACTGTGGAGATGTGGCACTCAGGAGCTTGTTTTAGTGGGCATGGTGGGGTGGGTTGGGGTTTGGACGTGGTGGTCGTAGTGATCCTTTCCAGCTTGAGTGATTCTGTGCTTCTGTACTGGCACACTGCGGAGGAAAGGCAAGATCTTTAGGGATCCTTGGCGGTCTGAGGGCTGGTTGTGGTTGTAATTGGAGATTTGCTACGAATTAAACAAGGATTTAACAGCCAGCATAACTAGTTACCACCTTTTCTAGCACTTAGTGTGCCTTATAGTTGCACAGCATCATTAGAAGTCTCAGTAACACGGGCTCGTCTGTCATCTGGGTGGACCCTGTGTAGATCAGGACATATTCCTATCAGTCGTGCAATACAGTCATCACCTAGACTCAGATTTTAGGTAAAACCACACGAGAGGCACAACTCAGGACTCAGGAAGACTGTGCTGATGCATCCCAGGCCACGGGGAATCCAGCAACAGTTCTGTTCTGAGTCCCACTGAGGGCTTAATGCTGCTAGATTCTATAGGCCGTGCTCCCAGTGCTGTTACATTTCCCTATTCCAGGACATGGATGTCAGCACTGGTGAGACTGTACCTCAAGTGCTGCGTTCAGTTTTGGGCCTCTCAGTACAAGAAGGACATCGAGGCCCTGGAGTGTGGCCAGAGAAGGGCAGTGGAGCTGTGAGGGGTCTGGAGCACAGTGCTATGGGGACCGATGGAATGGGACGGTTCAGTCTGGAAGAGAGAAGACTTGGGGAGACCTCACTGTTCTCTCCAGCTCCTGAAAGGAGGTTGGAGCGAGGTGCAGGTTGGCTTTTGCTCCCAGGAAACAGCAATGGGATGAGAGGCGATGGCCTCACGTTGCACCAGGTGGGGTTGAGGTTGGGTATTAGGACCAATTTCTTCTCTGAAGGAGTGGTGATGCAGTGGCACATCTGCACAGGGCAGTGGGGCAGTCACCATCCCCGGAGGTGTTCAAGAACCGTGGAGATGTGGCGCTGAGGGACGTGGCTTAATGGGCATCGTGGGGTGGGTTGGGGTCAGACGTGGTGATCTTCGAGGTCTGTTTCAACATGAATGATTCTGTGATCTCCTGACAGCCAGCCTGCAGGAATTGACGCTGCTGAGGGGTTTAACCCACCTGTCAGTGCTGTCGGTGGCTGCTCTCCATACCCTCGTAGTGACCCAACCCTTGGGTCCTGAGAGCATCTCTGCCCCTTGGCACTCTGACAGTGGGGGTCCCCACAGCCTGGGCAGAGAGGGGGTGAGGAGAGGAGGCAGGGCTGTGTGTTAGCAGCCACTCAGGTGCTGTGGATGCTGACTTTATCACTGGTTGTGCTAACCGTGCTGCCAGGGGAAAGGAGCAGAGGGCACTGATCACAGCTGCCTTGACTGTGTCATTTCAGCTTCACTCTCAGCTCCCCAACCCAGTGTGCTTTTCCTGCTTGGCTTATTCTGCCTCTCTATCTCTGCTAGCTGAGAGATGGAGCGTTGTTTTTCTTCTCTTTCCTCTTTTTTGGCTGCCTGATTACAGCATTCTTTCTTCTCAGTCTCCCTTAATTGTTTTTGTTGAGTCTCTTCATTATCGTACATTTTTTTAACCTGTAACCTGGCTCTTCTTTGTTAAAACCTTACTGCTGAAGTGTTACGAGTTGAATACAATCAGAAGCCTTAAACATATCCACAGTTTGAAGTTCATGGTCTGTTGCAATGGGAATAGCATAGTCTCCCCTGGTGAGATAAGAGTAATGCAGATGACTGTTAGCATTATGGGCATACTTTTCCATGTGCTCCTCTTCCTCCCATTATTTCGGCATGTTTTACTGCCATGCTTGTGCATTTGCTCTCCCTGGGAAAGAAAATGGGAGAGTTTGGTCGTCTTCCATTTAGCTTCATGGGAGATGTTCAAGACCTGCCTGGATGCCAACCTGTGCGACCTGCTGTAGGGAACCTGCTTTGGCAGGGGGGTTGGACTTCATGAGCTCTGAAGGTCCCTTCCAACCCCTACAATTCTGTGATTCATGTGACACCTTCTATACTTGCACGTCCCATTCACGCATTTTCCTGTTTTCCTCCCTGTAGGAAATTGCATGCATGCCTATTTTCCCTCCTGAAAACCTACATCACGTGCAGCATTCCCTTCTCTTCTTCCAAGTACTTTTATAAAAGAATGAACCAAATAGATACTCTACCTTTGCTGGTTGTTTTTTCTTCCCCCCCTCCTCCCCCCATCGCCGAGTTCTCTGCATTGTCTTTGTCTTAGAATAGAATCATTAAGGCTGGAAAGGACCTCAAAGATCTTCTCATGCTCTCTGTGCCTCCCTGCTGCTCTGACAACCAGCCCTGCACGCCCTTGCATTTCCCCCACCCCTCTGGTGCCCCTCTGCTCTCCTTATCCTCTTGGCATAAATCTGCAGGCTGTGCAGAAGATCCCCCGCATTTCCACGCTCTTTTTGCAAAGCCTTTATGTAGCGCAGCTCGTAATTCATGTTGGTTCTTTGGTTTGAGTCTGGGCAGTTGAATTAAAGCCATTATTTGACTCGTGTTCCCAGCGACATCTGCTTGTACAGCCAGTGTACCAAGACCTTCATTTGAGCTTGGCCGTGCGTGCATCCCGTTTTGTTACAAGGTTTTGGTTTCCCATTAGAAGTAAGGGCCATTTAGGGTTCTGTTCCTTTCCCCAACTGTTTCTGTTCCTTTCAATTGAATCCTCTGTTTCTGCACAGTCCCTGACAGCGTCTTCTCCTAAATCCACCATTCAGTTTCTTTTTCACTTTCCCAGCTTGCATATTTCTCCTATACCAAACATCATACTTTGTTTTCCTCCTTTCCACGTTGTGCCCACAGCAAATCCTGCAGTCTCTTTTCCTTGTCCTAAAGAGGAAAACGTTAATAACTTAACTTTAACTTAACTTTACTTCCTTTGTTCTGGTGACAAAGCACGCGCTTTCATTTTCTCCTCAAACACACATTGATATTTGCACTTTTTAAGACAAACTCTGGCATTTTCTATGCCTTACCAGTATGTGATGTGAAATTGCTTCCCCTGATGGCGTTGGTTACGTGAGGCCCCTGCCTCTTGTCATAAGTTCTTGTCATTTGCTGGGAAAAAAAGCAGCAGTTCCGCGTGGTACCTCTCAGAGAAAGGGGAGGGAAAGTTCATAATCTCAGGTTGGATGTTAGGAGCAATTTCTTCTCAGGAAGAGCAGTCAAGCATCAGAACAGGCTGCAGTAGGAAGAGGTGGAGTTGCTGACCCTGAAGGTTTCCGAGAGCCGTGGCAGTGAGGGCCGTGGTCAGTGGGAATGGTGGGGATCCGTTGTGGCTCAGCTTGGTGATCTCAGAGGTCTTTTCCAGCCTTCATGATTCTCTGATTTGTTATGCCTTTGTCTTCCACAAAGAAGTGAAAAGCCTTTATGACTCATTTATCTTTATCCAGAAAACTTAGCCCCATGCTTGCGTTTTTCCACCTCTCTCCCAAGAACAGCAGCAAAAAATGGAATTTCCTTGCTCTGAGGGTAAATCATAGATGCATGAGGTTTCTTTCTCACCTGCTTCATCGACAAACAAATAATTTATTCCCTTGGAACAAGATATTTCAAATAGAGATTCTTTTCGTCTCTCACAATGGGCTTCTTCTGCACTTCTCCTCTATTGAAACACACAAATTCTTCCCTTTTTTGCTCTCTGCCAATGTGTCTGTGTACTTTCAATCTCTTCCCCTGACGTGTAGCCTCAGCCTTTTTTCCGTGTTCCTTTTGTACTCCTTCTCCCTGATGTGGTCCTCGTGCTCCCCGACCTTCTCTTTGCTCCTTGAGTAAAGCCACCATTGCACCATGGATTACAGGTGAGCTCCTCTGGGGCCGCAGCGCGGGACGGCCGTCTCAAGGTGGGGATGCGGATCCTGGAGGTGAACCATCAGAGTTTGCTGGGGATGACGCACACAGAAGCAGTGCAGATACTCCGAAGTGTGGGCGATGCTCTGCTGGTGCTGGTGTGTGATGGCTTCGATCCCAAGGCTGCAGCTGCCATTGAGGTGAGAAGGGAGGCGCGAGGAGCCCCGCGGAGACCAAGGAAATAAGGAGCCCACCTATTTCTGCACAGAAGTTTGCTGCATTTTCCAGCCTTTTGCTGTAGATTTTTTTGTCGGTTCGTTGGTTGGGTTTTTTTGGGGCGTCCGATTCCAAAGTTTTCTCTCTTGCTTTATGAACTAGAAGTGATCGCCAGTTCATAAAACAGAAGCTTCGCAAGGCTGATATCTTCTGCTGATTGCAGAGCTGTTTTCACCATATCACTGTGCTGCATAGAAATGTGGGTTTCAAACAGATTTTCTGCAGTGTTCTTTTAGTCATTTGTTCTTGTATTGACGTTATATTTGAAGTAAATTTTCTTTCTATCCGTTGGTGTTCACCTTTCACCCAGGGAAACACCCACGGTAGCCCCATGCCTTCTGAGTTTTCTTTTACTGAGGCTTAGAAAGCCTTTATTTATCCTTTGCTAGAACATATACTCAGTCCATGGTAATCTTATGCCCTTTCTGTACCTGTTTTAATTGAAACTCCTCTTCCCTAGCCCTCAGTTTCTTTATGTAATTGACAGTTGCAACAAGGTTTTGAGTTGTGAAGCAGTTCTGTCTTGTCCAGGAGCATCTTGGTGCTCTATATCTGGTAGCCCAGGGTGTGGAATCTTGTATGGTATACTATGGGCTTCTGCCATGTTTTATTGTGGTTTTGCTTCGTAGATGTCTCCGGGAATTATTGCAAACCCTTTTGCTGCTGGTATTGGACGCAAGAATAGCCTGGAAAGTATCTCATCTATTGACCGGGATCTCAGCCCTGAGGAACTGGAGGTGCTGCAGAAGGTGGGTGTTCTGGCTTTGGCTGGGAGAGTGGTGTGGAATGGAATACTTGTTAAATCTCAAGTATTTCCCTTGGTGTGTGGGACCCGCAGCATAACAAGTAGCGGACTTCACGTTTGTGGGATCAGCAGCTCCCAGCACATGGACCAGCACGAGGCTGAGACGTGGTCTGGCTTCTTCCTGAGGTTGCCATCCTCCACGCAGGGAGAAGAGCGCGGGGTGAAGTGGCTCTAACTTTGGTCTCTCCTAGGAGATGGAAATGGTGAGAGAAGCGACTCAGTGGGAGAGAGAAGAAATGGAGAAAGTGGTGAGAGATGTTTCGTGTGGTGGAGTTTGTTCTTGACAGCAGTTCTGCCCAGGCTGCAGGCCCTGAGGAAAATGGCACAGATTGCCTCTACTCGACTGTGATCGCTGTGGGGGCTGTGGGCCTCGTCTCTCCATAGTGCACCTCTCAGTTACTGTAGTTGCTTTTTGGCTTTGGCCTACCTTCCTGTGTGCCTCTTTGGTGGTACTTACCTGTTATTTGTGCAGTTTGTTACCGCTGGGGCTTTCTGGCCAAGGTTTTCTTAAAGCTGCAACTTTGAGGAAAATGGCCCATTGGCTTGGGAGCCCCACGTTTCATCACTTCTCTCCATGATCTGACAGCTTTCATGAGCAGAGATGAGAACACACAGCTCAAAGGTTGAGGAATCAGCCCCGTTCATCAGTCAGGAGTTTGTGCTTCTCAATTTCCATGGCTGTTGTTCTGGCTGGGCACGAGAACTTTGTCCCTGAGGGGGTTGGATTTTCCAGTTCTCTCTGTTAAAACTGCAATTTATTCAGTCAGATCCTGGTGGAAAATGAGGGAAAAATTGAATTCTTTAGCACTGTGCATTGTCAATCTGCTCTCCTGGCAAATAAGTTTGTGTACATTTTGCATTTCTTCAGGTTTCCAGTTTAGATCTATTTATCTTGCTGGGTTCTCTCTGTTGTTCAGTCCCTGAGCTGAACGAGTTTTCAGGAACCACCGTTGCACTCTGCATACGTCTTCCAAGTTTGGTTCTTTGATCGTTCAGATTCTAAGAGCAATATCAGTGACTCCAAATCTCCATGGGCCGATCCTTGGCACGTTTCTCTGTCTCAGCTCTGCTGCCAGTTGTTTTTTGTAACCTTACCGCAGAGCTTTGGCTCAGATGTTGCAGGGATGGACTTCCGGCGTTGCCCAGCTCCATCAGCACTGCCTGGAGCTCCTGTTACTTTTCACTTTATGACCTCCAGTTTTGCAGATGATGCTTATCCAAAGCATACACACCCAGCACCAACATACGCTTCAGCTTAAATATCCCTGAATATCCCTTTGGGTCCTGCAGTTTTCTGGAGCGCTGGCGTCTTCTCATGTGGCTCATCACTGTCTGGAGATTGGGAGTGTGATATTGGGCACTGGTGGTAATGCACAGGATGGCCGGGTGCTGATCAGAACTCTCTGCTCTGTCTGTTCCTCAGCTGCGTCCCATCCATCAGCCTTGTGCCCTCAGGACCCTCTGGAGGCTGCTGATGGAGAGAAGCAGTCAGAAGGGCTGAAATGTGCCGTAGAGCAAAGCAATTCTGCTCCTTTTGTCCACAGCCCCCACTCTGCTGCAGAGGCACTGGGCAAAAAAGTCACAGAATATAAATGAACAGATGTAATTCCTCTTGAAATCAAGCAGTGGGTGTTATTTCTTTCCTTCTGCAGCTCTGTAGCTGCAGTGAGTTTGGTTACTGGCCACTTTCATGACACTCTGTGCTCACCCACCGGCTTTAAGCCCTCTGTACAATTGCCATCTCTGTAGCTTTGTGGCTGTGATGCTACTAACAAGCATGTGATTTTTTAGGACTTTTTCCTCGATGACCACCAGCTCGTGCTCTGTAGATTTGTTTCTCTGTGCCGTTGCAGCTTCCCCACTCTGTGCTCTGCCAGGATCCCTCTTGTAGGATCAAGTAGCAGCCTGTTCCCATCCCTCAGCGACGCTGCATAGGGTTCAGCTCCACTTCCTCTCCCTAGCAGTTGCCCCGCTGAGGATCTCAGAGCCACCTGCCCTCTTCCCTCCCCTGGTGACCCCCTGTCTTTACTTGTATGGGATGGCTGTTGCCATCACTTTGCTGGCAGTGCCCAGCAGAATGCCAGCTTCTCCTTCCCTGGGCCGAGCTCACGTGCTGATTTCTGCTCACTTCATCCTGACACCAGCCCCCTCCATACCCTTCTGTTCTCCCTCTGGAATGATTGCCCAGCATGCAGCTGACCTCTTTCCCTCTCTCTTTGCCTGCACTGCTTGGATGCTGGTCTGGCTCTGTCCTGTGGCATGGAAGGAGTGGATGCGTAGGGAGCGGGAGGCGGCCACGCGGCAGCTTGAGGAGGCGGCAGAGGTGAGGAGCGTGGTGGGAGGGATGGAGAGATGGAGAGAAGAGGCAGAGCTCAGCCTAAGGGCTGGAGGAGCCCACGAAAAGTAGAAGCACTCACTGCCCTCTGCATGTGTTCTCCTCACCCCTCTGTACCCTGCAAAAAGCACAGCTTCAGCGTATGAGGAGATAGCAGAAATTGGGAACTCTTCAACGTGGTTGAGGAAGAGCTAGCGAAAAACAATGACTAAAATGTGAAAGCAAATTAAAATAGGAAGTGATATCAGGCACAATTATGCAAACAGGGTGAGTTAATACTGAAAATAGATGCCACAGAGGAATTGCAGATTGACTTTGTTAAGTGTAGAATCATGGAACATGCCGAGTTGGAAGGCACCCATAAGGGTCATTGAGTCCAACTCCTGTATCGCCAGCTCCAGACTGTAAAATCTTTCTGGATTTGGTGAAAACTGGTTGTATATGTTTAGTATTCTTTTCTCTTTCTGTAAGAGAGTGGATGTGTGCACTGCACAGGAGAAATGGTGAGGACCAGCATCCCAGTGTGGCTGTTCCCTGCAGTATTGCTGTCACTTTTCCCCGTGGCTGCGTTTGGAGCAGTCCCAGGTTCACATCCCAGCAGTGGGAGCTTCCTGCAGCGTTTGGAGACAGAGCCTTGGTTGTGACGAGGGGTGGTTTCCTTTGAATTGCTCTCTGCGATTGATGTAGCTGAATTCTGGCCTGATCTCTTCCTGGTGTTTCTGTTTTGTTTTTTGCTTCCCCCCTCCCCCCTCTCCAGAATGTCACGAGTGAACCTTTGCGAATGGACTATCGGACCCTGGCTGCTTTGCCCAGCAGTGGCTCACAGAGAGTCAATCGCACTGTAAGTGATGGGTGCTGAGTGCACATCCCTGCTCCCTTTCCTGCCCTCTCCTCTGCCTTTATGTGATGGTAGCGGTGCTCTGCAGAACTGCAGTGGGCTTCAGGTGTCTGAAACAGGAGGAGCTGCAGCGGAAAGATTTAGAAGGAGAAAATGGTGAGAGCAGAAAGCCAAGTTGCTTCCCATTGTGGAAAGGGAAGTGGCTTCTGTGGTTGCTTTGGTGCAGGAGATGATGTGAACAAGGCAGAAAGAAAGCCCAGCAGGAGGGAAGAATACACGTGAATGGAGTGTGGGGGCTTTGGTGGGGAAATAAGCAAGTACTGAAAGCTGCAGCAGCAGGAGGGGAAGATGATGCCAGGCACAGAAGACACCAATGCTGTGTGCAGAGAAAGCAAGGAGTGCAGAGAAAGCAAGGTTAGGATCCATCTAGGACTGCAAAAGGGGAAGCAGAAGTGATTGCATATCCCACCTAGCAGAGATAACAGTGGTGCCTTTGGCACTACTGCTGCCCCTCTGCCCTCCTGTGTTGCCATCTCTGATACATGGTGGAAACTCAGCAAAGAGAAAATCCAGATTCCCCAAATGTCACAGATTACAGAGCCTTTCCTGGGTTGTTTAAAATGTCACATCTCTATCTCTGTTTTCTTTGTCCCCCCTGCATCACGCCTGTTCTGCTGAGTTGCTGCCTGCTCCCTTAGAGCTTCGCATCCTCAGGCTTATCCCCAATCCCTTTCCTGCTGTTACAGGAAGGACCAACCCTTTGCTGATGTTGAGACAGAATATCTCTTTGTTCTCCCATTGTTTCAGATCATCTCTTCTACCCATCTCTGTTTCATTCCATTGAGACAGCTCTTCTCTCATATTTGTGTATCATCTCATGACTGTCACCAGTTCTGTCTTATTTTCTTCCTCCCCATCCTCTCAAGCTTTGCCTTTTCTTTCCTGGCTGTCAGTTGTTTCATCAGAAGAACATCTGAAGTATTTCCAGCATCTCTTCATTTAACTGAGTAGCTGGAAGTGAGGGGAGAGCCAACCCCATGCAAGCAGCTGTTCTTTTGTGAGCAGCCCAAGAGCTGAGCAGCATTTGGGAGCCTATGGCTGAGCCTGGGAGCGCCTGGCTCTGGAATGTGCAGCAGAGCACTGGAATGCTGCGTGTGGGGCAGCATCTATAAATGTCCCATCTCAGGGGAAGGGCCAATTAGTGCACATTTATCTTCTCCCAACTGTCTTTTGCTCAGCCCTACCTTTGCTCTGCTTGAAAAAATCCCACCTGCTTTGATTGTGAGATACGAGCTCCCAATGACAGCAAGGTTCTGGCTGCAGCCAGTCCATGTGGTGACAGCCTGGAAGATTCAAGCAGTCCAACCAGCAGAAAAGCATGCAGCTCATAGGGCTGCAGCACCTTTGCAGAGAAGAGAGGCTGAGCGTCGGGATTCTCTTATAGCAGCCTTTCAGTACCCAAAAGGGCCTACAAGAAGCTGGAGAGGGATTTTGTACGTGGGTGTGCAGTGATAGGGCAAGGGAGAATAAAAGAAGGCAGGTTTAGATTGGATATAAGGACAAATATCTTCACAGTGGAAGTGATGAGGCCCTGGCACAGACTGACCAGAGAAGTGTGAGTGGCCCATGTCTGGGGGTGCCCTGGGCAGGCTGGTCTGGTGCACAAGGGTTGGAAGTAGATGATCTTTAAGGACCCCTCCAACCCAAACCATTCTTGATTCAATCAGCAGGTGATCTTTAAGGACCCCTCCAACCCAAACCATTCTTGTCTCAATCAGCAGGTGATCTTCAAGGACCCCTCCAACCCAAACCATTCTTGACTCAATCAGCAGGTTGTCTCTCTGCAAACAACATGCCTGAATTAAGATGGCTGATGCTATTGCCCCATTCCTACAGTATTACCCTGTTTCTGTCTGTGCTTTGGCAGCTCTCACACCAAGCCCTTTCTGCTCTGAGCTGTCTTGCATATCTTCTGCTGCTGTGTAATGCCTTTCAAGGCCGTGCAGAGCCACTCTCCGCACTGCTGAGCAGAAGGATGTACGATAAGGGTCAATCTCTGTCATGACTCTGCTGTAGGTTGCAGTGGAATTTCTCCTGGGGATGCCCCAAGAGCAGTGTCCAGAGAAGGGGCAGATGTTTGTCTGTCTTTGGGTTGATCTGTACTGCTGTGCTGGTTGTTCTGTAAGTAGGAGTCCTGAAGGCTTTTGTCGTGCAAAACCGTGTTTGTGCAGTTCGTGCAGCTGAAGAGCTTTTGTAGAAAGCTGCATGAAAGGGCTCCTCTCAGTGATGCCCTCTGCAGTGGCAGCTTCTCAGCACTGCAGTGTTTGCAGTACTGCATTCAGAAGTCAGGATAATGCCATCACAGTAGCAAAGGTGCTGTGTTATAGTCTATCATTTTTCTGGATATTACAGGCTTGGAAACCGTACCCATGAATGACTGTGCCAGGCCACAGCAAAACACTTAAAGTCTCGTTTTGCTTTCTGGACCATAGAAAAGAAGACGACTTTACATCCGTCAGTAACGGGTCACCACTGTTGGTTAATTAATCTGTGCTTTCCAGTCGGAAGCTTTCAATTCCTGGCCCATGGTTCTCTCTCTGTAGCTGATCACAGAATCACCGAGGTTGGAACAGACCTTCAGGATCATCCAGTCCAACCACCCACCCATCACCAATAGTTCTCACTAAACCACGTCCCTCAACACAAAATCCAAACGTCCCTTGAACACCTCCAGGTCGGTGACTCCACCACTCCCTGGGACTCCCATTGCAGTGCCTGGCCACTCTTTCAGAAAAGCAGTATTTCCTAACATCCAGCCTGAATCTCCCCTGGCGCAGCTTGGAGCCATTCCCTCTAGTTCTCTCACTGTTACACAAGTTCATTTTCAGATTAGATTTGTGTTAGCATCTGAGGCAAAGCGATGGGTCAAAACTGCAAATGCATTTCCTTCTGTATTTGCTCAGAGAGCGCAAAGTGAAATATTCCTGTTCTCTGTGCTGGAGTGTAGAGTGACAGAGCAAGGCTGGGAAAAGCACACTGCATTGCCAGAATTGTTGACTCCCCAAAATAGAAATTGTTGCTCGTCTGATAAAAATAATCCATGCGGAGCTGATGGAGCAGGGCATCGTGCACCGGGACGCATGCAGCAGTGATGGAGATGAATGCGAGGAGTGGATGAAGCTCAGCTCCAGTCATGTCCATCATCAGAACAGGACTTTGAGCTCCACCAGCCCTTGTGCAGCCTTGGGGAGATGCCCATCTCCACAGTGCCCTAAAAGCAGCATTTACTTTTTTACCGTCTGCGTGAGCAAAGTGAGCTTTGGTGCTGTGGGATCACTTGGAATGAGTGATAATCTCTGCTGTCTGCTTGGCAAGGAAAGGCAGTGTCAGGGTGACATGGCTGCTGGGTGGCAAACCCACCTCATGCTGGAGGACTGCTGTCATTCTTCTAATGAGTGCATCCACAAATGGGCAACATTCCTGAAAGCACTTTTAGCCTAATGTAAGTTTGTATTAGGATACTTTATGGTACTCTTGGGAAAAGGATGTTGGATTTTGGTGGGGAGGAGGGGGATTTTTTTGATAGGAGCCTTTTGCATTGGGAAGGGATACAGTCCAGTAGCAAAATTTATGGAGGTAGCACAGACTTCAGTGTCTGTAGAAATAGGATCTGAGCAGCAGCTCTGCCATCCGCTGTGTTGGGTTGGGGTGGGGGTGAAGGCTGGGGGAGGGCAGCAGGAATTCCTGAGCCTCTCAGCTGCCATTGTAAGCCAGCAGCCCACCCGGCCACCAGAGCTATTTTGGTGAGCGCTGCCGTGACACAGGAACTGGGGAATGTGCTCTGAGCTGAAAGGGTCTTTCTGCTGCGCCGCCGGCAGCTGGGAGGAGGAGGCTGCAGCATTGTTCTCCCATTATCCCCACTTCACTGCTGAAGGCTTCGGTGGGGTAACAAACACTCTTTTATGGTACTAAAGGAGAAAAGGTCAGTGCTTCGTCTGGGATGGGTTCCGTGCAGAATGAGCGTGTGAAGGGATCTGTGCTGCTACCCCCTGCTTAGCCGTTACTGCTGTGTGAGTGCATAGCGATGAAATGGGCCCGTAGAACAGCGAGCGTGTGCGTGCAGATGGGACGGATCTGCATGGAGAGCAGTGATGTGGCGTGACTGTGTGGGAGCTCAGTGGAGCAAGAGGAGAGATTTACGTTATTGTGTGTGCTGGGGGTACGTGGAAGTAAGCTGGGGTGAGACAGATGGTGTTTGGCAGTGTGTGCGGTGGTGGAGCTGAGAATGCTGCGGGAGGGGGAAGGCCATGTGCTGCTCTTGGAGTTGCTTTTGTTGGAGAGCAGCAGAGTTGCTGAAATGCAAATAGGAGTGTAAATGAGAGCTGGAAAAATGCAGGGAGTGTGCGTGAGCCTGCTGATAACTCAGTTTGTGTATCGCGTGTGACAGCAGGGTCCTCTCTTACAAGTAGCACTAGGGCTCACAGGACTGGCGATGGAGTAGAAGGTGGAATGGTGCTGTGGGCATTACTACTGGAGTTCCTCTCTCCCCTGTCCTCCAGCTCTGTGTTTTCTCTTCCTCTCCTTTTCCCTGCTCTCTTCATGTCTTTCTGACACTTCTGTTTCCTCACAGCCCGTTCATTGTGATAGGGCCACCTCCGGCACGGGGACTGACCACACTATGCTGTCCTTGCCGGTGGCACAGGATGGCCAGGACTGCTCCCCAGCAGCAGCAGCAGCAGCAGCAGCAGCAGCATCCCTGACCACCAGATGTGAGCCTGGCCCTCCCCAGGACCCCGCGTCGCCCTGCCGGCGCACGTGCGGGGCAGAAAAGCCCCCTGTAGACGAACGGGATCCCAACCATTGCTCCCCTCCCCGGGAGCCGGAGGCACCAGAGCAAGAGTGCATGATCGACTCCCAGCCCATCCTCTTCAGCGAGAACCCCTTCGTGGTGGCCAACCGGAGGGGGAAGGCGGCGGGCAAGGCCTGCCTGGGGGGCCCCCCGCTGGGCTATGGCAGGGAGGGAGTGCTGAAGACCAACCTTTACTCCAAGGCAAGCGCTCTTACGGCGTGCAGCATGCGGTCACACAGGAGCCACGCAGCTCCTACTAAACCACGGGGCGTGCAAAGGCAGCACGAGGCCTGGGCTGCTCCCAACCTAACGCACGTGGTGTGTGTGTGCTGTCTGACTGTGGTCGTCCTCCAGCACTAACATACCGGCTGTGCATGCGCCCTCCGCCAGGAGGCCGAGACGTGGGGCTGGGGAGGACCTCCTGTCGTCATGGGCAGCCTGCAGGAGCAGCAGTGTTGCTGTGTTCCAGTGTTCTGTGGGAGCAGAGAGCTGAGGGGAGATGGTGTCACGTGTGTCTGTGGGCTTCAGCAAGCTCGGATGTTGTTAGACCTCTGCAAGCAAAGAGTGTAGCTGAGGTAGCTAACTTGCAGCACAAGGGCGTGCTGTTCCTTGAAGGACTGCTTGCAGTGTATCAGACTTCTAGATTTCAGGAGAGAACATCCATTTTGCTGTGGGAAATCTGCTTGCATTTAAGTTCCTGTAACCCACAACGTTGCCGGGAGGACTCAGCCCAAAGGTGTTGCGGGTGAGCACTGCTCTCTTCATCTTGGCCTTTTTGGGGATCTGGACAGCAAGAGAAGCTGAAGAACCGCATGCAGACAGCACCCCTCCTGCCACAGATACAGCGATGGGAGGAAACAAGGCTGATCAGCCAGCTGTAGTTGTCTTAGGTGGTTGTAGCCCAGTTCTGTGGTGGCAGTTTGTCTTTTCCACATGTGTAGGCATTTGAAAATAGAGCAAGGCATCTGACAGAACGTCTGCAACCTCTCAGTGTATTAAAAGTCAAAGTTTGTGCTTTGAATTGATACGTATCTAGATTTATAGTTAGTGGACCAGAAAAGATGGATTCATCCACATCCAGCGATCATCAGTCAGGAGGTGGCTGTCACAGCTAGCTTAAGCTAATCTGATTCCACAGCGCTGTCGTAAAAAGACTGCTCCCCATCATCTGTTCTCCTGTGCGCTGGCAGCAGAGCTGTGTCAGGTGGGCCGGGGAGCTGAAGGGTTTTCTTTGTAGGATGAGTTCTTTGCAGAGCAGCACCCTCCTCGGTGGGTGGATGAACAGCACGTGGAGGCTTTGGGCAGAGGATGACGGAGCCAAACGGAGCGGGAGCACTGCAGTGGTGCCATGGAAGTGATGGGTTTGAGACTGCCGTGTGCTGTCACTGTGGTGAGAGGAAGGATCAGATATTTTCTCCAGTGTAAGCTTTAGGTTCCATCCCCTGGCTTGGTATATGGAAATATATACCGTTGCCCACAGCTGACCCGAGTTTCATTAACAGGATTCACTACTGCATGAGTAACAATAATAATTGCAAAACCCAGAGATTTGCTTCAAGAACTGTTGAAATCTCAAAGGACCCATTTCCACTTTTAGGCATCTAAAATGGTTTTTAGTAGCGTTCCTTAACCAGCACGACAGCTATTGGGACTCTGCCCTTGTGATGCTGCTGTGGGGGCTCCTGCAGAAGGGGTGAGAGCTTTGTCCTTCCTGTGCTCTGTCCTGCTCTGCAGCTGCAGGCCAGCTGCAATGGATGTGGCTGTGAAAGAGTCTCCTTTTGGTTACGAGTGGCTTTTGTTGCTTCAAGACATGAAGTTTCTCTCGATTTGGGGGAGAGGATTGCCAGAAATCCTTGCAAGGCAGAAGTCTTAACCCGGTGTGGTTGGCTGTGCAGGATGTTCGGATGCGATCTGAGCTCTGATGTTTCATACAGTTCTCTTGCTGTTCCCAGTGCTTTTTGCAATATGACGCCTGCCGTTAGGCCAACGCTAACTCTGCTTTCTTGTGGTGAAGTGGTCCATAGTTGCCCTCAGGCTGGATATCAGAATGTGGAAGTTGCTGCTGCACAGTAATTCTCGAGCTTTGTCTCCTCTCTTGCAGGTTCCTGAGTCGGGGACAGGAAATTCGAGGCGAGAAACCCCTTATTCTCCCAGTAACCAGCAGGTGAGGCTGCACGTAAGGCAGGCAATGGGGAGAAGGCAGGTGTGCTTCCAGGGCAGAACTGGGCAGCAAGGCAGAGGGAGCTGAGGATAATTCCTTTATTTGAGAGCCATTCCTGTATTTGAGAGTGATACCTTTGTGGTGGAGGAATCCCTTCTAGGATGCAACTGGAGAACAAGGGAAGGAGCTCTTCTCTTTCAAAATGTTTCTGAGACCCAGAATTTAATTAGCTGGTCATAAACCCAGTGGAGAGCTACTGCTCTAAGGGTTAATTTAATTATCAGAGTAATTAACGAGCAGGGGAGTACCTAAGGTGACTACGAAGCGGTCGTTGCCTGTTTTGAGAATGGCTTCACCAGTGCCTCATGCAGACTGCGTTGAATTCTGTACCTCAGAAAAAGTGGGGAAGTGAAGGTTTGCAGAAACCTCAGCTCTGTGAACCACTGCTGCTCGGCCTCCTGCTCTGACCCCTGTTCTGTTGCTGGCTGTGCCAGCAGCTCATATGGGCTCTTCAGAAGAGAACCAAAGGAGCTGTGCACACACTTACGGGCTCACCTCCCCCGAGGGACTGATTTTCTGGAAGACTTAAGCCGCCTTTCTCTCTGAATCTTTGATTTTTATCTTTCGATTTTCCTGTAACTTTTGGGTTATTTTCGTCAGTGTTCCCTATTCTCACTGGCTCTTCTTATTACACGTGCAAACTGTGATCCTTTGTTTAAAATCTCGTGAAGTTTTAGATGTCAGTGCTCATTCTATGGCAGCGGGTTTCACAAACCAGGTGAGCCTTTTGAAATGAAATACTCTGAAGTGAACGTTGACATTTTCCCTTCGCGGTCATTATGGGATTGCACTGTGAGCTGTAATGAAGTGAAAATTGTGCTGTGTGCTCTGTCCTCAGTTGTTTGCATCCATTGGGAGTGTGGCTGCTCTGCAGCTGTTGGGACCGAACAGCTCTGGCAGTGACCTGGTCTTTGGTTGAGCCATTCCAGCAGTCTGAGCTTGACAAAAGTGAACTGCCTTTTTTGCTCAGTTAATTTGGAACCAACTCGTTGAGGTGAATTGCATCATCTTGGAGTGAGGTGACTGTTAACACTGCCAGTAGTAAGAGTCAAGAACAAGAGTCAAAAGCATATGGCTGGGAGCAGTGGATAGAACGCTGGAGCTGTCGTGGGCAGTAGTTCAGTCCATCTTCTATTGCTTCCTTATGCTGTCTTGCATCTCCTTCAGTTCCTAGATCCTTAAAATCAAGTGAGCTCCAGGGGCACAGGAAGACTGAGGGAAGGTACTGTTCATTATGGTAATGCAGTGTCGGTGCATTCTCTTCCAGCTCCATCCGATTGCTTTTCTGGCAGCAGGTATACGTTCAGAGGTGTATTTTGGGCTCTTTGCCTGTAAGTTATCCTTTGGCCACAAATGCCAGCTTTCTTTGAGTTTAGGGTCCTTCCATCTAGAGGTATTCTTGGGGTGAGGATGGTACTCCTCGTTCTGCAAGGGACAGAGATCTAGATATTCACTTACTTCACCCTTAAGCTCAGCTTTTGGATGAAAAAAGTGCACAGGTCAGGGGTCTAGTCACCAAATTCCGAACACCTCCAGGGAGGGAGAGCCCACATCTTTCCAGCCAGCAGCTCCAATGTGTGGCGACCCTCACTGTGAGATTGCTGGTTTATTACAAAAGCAAGTGTAGAGTCTTGCATCTGGGGAGGAATAACGGCGTGCAGCGGTACAGGATGGGGATGAGCTGCTGGAGGGGAGCTCTGCGGAGAGGGACCTGGG